AAGAGACAGGTATGTTAGCTATCTGATACAAAGTGTAATCACATACTGATATAAAAAGTCCTTTCTTTAGGATAGTGTTTGGAAATATTTCTTGCAAAGGAAATTAAAAAACCCAACCAAACAAAAAAGCTATAGTGTTTGGGAATGAGCCTAGAGCAGGCAGATAAAACTTTGTGGCAAAAGGCAGTTTGTCAAGCTTCTTTTTGTAAAGGACATTATTTTCATCACATTTTAAAAGTAGAAATGAATGAATTATGATAAGTATTATGTGTTTCCTTAGCCATTGTTTTCCCCGTCTCATTTTTAGAAGACCTCTCTCCTATTATTTGTATTACTCTACTCATAATTAGTAGTGCACAGAAATAACAACAGTTGGAATTCCAATCATTCTACACTGGGATAACTAGCAGTCTTTCATTTTGCAGTCATGATGTTACATTTATGCTTACATGTTAACCCAGCTAAATACATAGACACGCATAACTAAGGTCATTATTTCAGTGGGACCGTCCACACCCTCAGTGCTGGGCTCTTTGCTACATAAGAACTGTAGTTCCAGCTAAAAGTTTGAACACAGAATTCAACTTCATTGTTTTGTGAACAGGTACAGGAATCTTCTAGATTAGTCAATGCTTTTGTGGATAACTGGATTAGATTAAAGTAGATGGTGCAGTAACTCAGTCAATCCTTAAACAGAATAAGGGTGGTAGTCTAACTAGGATTTGTCTGAAGAGGAATGGAACGTAGAACTGTCACAGTCATATCATAGTAACAATTTCTAAGAAAGACGGCATAATAAGAAAAGCCACAGTAATTCAGACTATATTCTCATCAGTCCAGTATCCTGTATCAGTCCAGTATCCAGTATCCTGGAGACCAGAGGAAGTGTGGAGTGACCAGTCCTCAGGCATACTCTCTAGCTTATGGCAGGTGCATCCTAGACACCTTCCAAGCTGAAGGCTTCATCTGGACCATTATGTAAAATAGTCATTAATGGATTTAACCACCTTTGATGTTTCCTCATATGTTTTAAATGATTATTTATTTTGGAATGTTTTATCATTTGGAGATTAGGCTACAAAGTGAAGAGCTCATTAAATCCCAAGAAAAATGTGTGATATTAAACATGCACTTGAATACATTTTCTTCCGTAAGGCTGAAGCCAAGAGAAATAATGACATGGTCAACACTTACAGAACACAACCATTTAAAAATATTCATAAACCCAATACAAAATCTAAGGAAACAATGAAAACAGCTCTAAATTGAATTGAATTTTATAGAAAGCAACTTTTGAAATTTCCTCTTGTCAATTCCTACTGTGAGTAGCAGTCACCTTGTTAAAGGTGCTATTTACTGGTGCCTAGTGCATAAACAACAGACATTTACAAAACGCTAGCTTCTTCTGGAATCAATTTCATTTGCAGACTCTTTTGGTTTGGTGGTTTTGCATGCACCTTATCTATTTTAATGTCATAATAAATCTTTGAAATTCATCCATATTATGCTTATCGTATTTGTTTATATGGCAGATTTTGATGCATTTTAGTACAAGAGTTTAAAATCCTCTCTAAATGTTATTGCTGAGGGTCATAGCAGTTTATAAAAAAAATAAGAAAATACTGAAATAATCTAACATCAGTAATAAAAGTAGTGCAAGTATTCCCTGACTGTGAGAAATACATCTATCTTTCACAGAAGGGCTAGTGGGGAAATGGCACAGGTGAACTTTAAAGCCAGTAGAGATCAAAGCAACTCTGCCTAAGACGTGCAGAGGAACTCCGATCCTCTGGGGAGCAGGAAGGCCTCATGTTCCTGCGGCTGCTCACCTTTGGTTGGACTGTCAGACTCTGGTGCCACTGACTGCTACAGGAAGGGTTAGCTTGCTGCTGATTTTCTTCCTCCTCAACAGGGAAGAAAACCAGAACCTGCTATACATAAACACACCAACCTCTCTCCCCGACCAGACAAGGAACTGAAAAGGTGGATGAGTGAAGGAGGAAACATGCTTTATTAAACTTACTCTTTCTTCCCAGTTTGGAATGACACAGATTTTGTCATGAATTTTATTCCTCTTAAGCTATATCCTGGCTGATACGATATGATCCAGGAAAGAAGACGCAAGAGCATTTTGTTGTCAAGTCAATCTCAGAGACAGAGCAAGATAATTTCTAGAGGGCAGGCACTGAAATAAAATTCTAAATAACCATACTTCACAAATACATATACATATATACATATACATGTATACATACATCCATGCAGGTTTGTGAATACACATGCAGATATGTTACAGCATGTATTAATTATTTTTTAACATTTCCAAACCCTTGGAAGTTTAGAAGGTGGGTGTTACAGTGAAGACAGATTTTTTAGCTTCAGCTGGTTTTTAATACCAAACTTCTGACATGAAATCACACAAGAAACAAGAAAACTATGTAATCTTCTTTAAGATGTATCTGGCTGAAAGCAGAGAATAACATATTAACACAAATCACAATTCCATATTAGTAATTGTACTCTTGATTCTTTTTATGTACTAGATCAACTTCCTTAACTTGCAGCAACTGCCTATTTTGTTTCTATTTTTATTTTTCTTCATGCATTGAATAGAAAAAGTAGAAAAATAATCAAATATAAATACCATAAAATACTCCAATGGCCATGTACAAGACTCCATTAACAGACAAATTTTTATCCTTTTGAAATATAAAAACTATAATATTGAATAGATCTGAGACAGGCAGTTCAAACCCAGGTAATGCTAGAATGAGATGGACAGTGTAAACAAAAATCATACTGATGTTTTACGTAAAGCAAAGAAACTAGAATGAATAATGAGAATATACTCAAAGAAATAAGTATAATGGTATATGTGGTGAACTGAAGTCAAAATTAAAGACAAGACTCAGAAAGCTTCCCTGGATTGAAGCTACTCCTGTGTTTGGAAATGATGGGAGTTATCCTGGTTTACACAATTCTTACAGCATTAGAGTAGCCCATGGAGTGATTTCTTTCTGTGACAACTCAGGTTGTGATCATGAGCCAAGAGATCACATGACCCCAGTTTTAAATTGAGAAACACTATCATTGCTGAATAAATTCCAACTAAATTTTATGTTCTGCTAAACAGAAGATTTGAACTATTTTGTTTCTCAATTGGCCTGTCTCCCCACTTGCAGGACAGACACTTCACTCATATCTGATACTACCACAAGCAATGAAAATACCGGGATTAAGTTTATGTGTTCTCTAATCGCAGAGGTCTCATTAGAGCAACTGGATACTTCATGCTTTGTACATGTTACATTTAAATGGAATTTTTATTTTCTTTATGGTTCTTTCTCCCCTCTTGCTATATGGATCAGTAGACAGTTGTTTCTCAAAGTGTGCAGCACTAGCAGTATAGAATGTCATAAGCACTGGTCTTTTGTTTGGGAGTTAATGTGAGAGGTGTGATCGTGATACACCTCTGGGAACAGTCTGGGATCTCATTCTTGGGAAGAGTGCAAGTATTTCTGATATTTAAGCTTTGCATTGCTATCCTTCTGCAAGGTGCAAAGACCAGCTCTACTCTGTCTGTAGAGACTCTGATACCATAAAGACACTCTGCTTGTGTCTGGGTAGTGAAACCTGGAGAGTCGAAGGCAAAGGCTGCTCATCATTACTAGTACCGCTCTAAAGCAATCTGAACTGAGTCAAAACTTGAAGAATGTGGCCCCTCATTCATCTGTTTTCTGCTCTTTCTACATGACAACATGAACTTCTTGTTACTGACAAGGAGAAATACATACAAAGCATACCTTATAGGGCAAGAATATATAGTAGTACTGAAGAAATACTTTTCATATGTACATAAAGAACCCCTCTATATGTATTCATTTACAGGAGTAGATACGATTTAAAATACTTTTTTTTTTTTTTTTTTTTTCAGGAAGATCTTCAAGGACCTGGAGCGATTCAAAGCAGAGGCTACTTTTTCTACAGGGTATGGTTTGTTTCACTTTTTTTCTTTTCATTTAGTGATGAGTGTTACAAAGAAAAAGTAGAGAAACCAGTAAATTATTACATTAAGAATTACTGTGACTGAGGAAACTTGCTTCACCAAGAGCATCCCACCATATAGGAGCAGATCTGCTCCAAATATTTTCTTGGCTTAAAATAAAGGCATATTAGGAAGGTTTTGTACACATCTTAATGTTTGCATATACATAATACCATGCCATGTCTTAATATGTCATTAGTTATTATGTATAGAATTCTGGAAGTTCTAGAAAATATGCCATCTTGGACAATTTTTCTAAAGCATTGTTCGATATAGTACATTTGCACGTGATATACATACAATGCCATGCTTATACACTGTATCAAAACAGCTACAGGGCCTGACCTTCCCATTTTCCTTGTGTTTTGACCAGTAAGATTAGAAACGAGGCTCAGAAATTCTCATGAGAATGAAACTACTTCATTTATCTTTGATGCCATAGAGCTTTTTCAGTCCATTTTTGCAAAACTGAGCAAGTTAAAGATGGCAAGTCAACTTTAATAATAATTATCTAGATTTTGGTTAATCTTTTTTTCTATTTAAATAAGAAAGTGGTTAATGAAAAGATTTTTTTTTCAGGTTTCAGGTTTATCTTAACAATGATCAGGTTGATAGAACTGAGAAATTTCCCAATTTCTATACATACTGATTTGGGTGGGGCTTTTTTACTGAAACCAGTCAGTTTTATGGACCACTTATTGGATATTTGTCTTTCAGCCACGCAATGGAAGGAGATCAGTGGATTTTCGCTAAGGAGGTATCTATTTAACGCTTTTAATGACAATCTATATAAATAGGGCACAATATTTATGTTGAGGAGTAGTCTCAGAAAGACTTGTCATCTTAAGACTTCTGCAGACAAACTTCTCCCAGATGTGCTAAATTCACACGTATCTTTAGGTGAACTGAATAAAAGCTGTAGGTACTTAGTTCCTAGAACAGAAAACACAAAGCTGTTTCACGCAGCAAGAAATGGAAAATATCCCAGATCTGTAAACATTTTGGAAAGTTAACAATGATAAGTGTATGTCAGGAAGAACTGATTCAACTACCTATTAAATACATACTGACATCCTGGGGGTAATCCCCCTGTTCTTACACAGAAAAAACCCTCACACTGAAACTAAGTACAGGCTTCAGGATTTAATTTCAAATCATTTGACTCTCTGGAGAGATATAAAAGCACAGTATTATAGTGCTCTGCTTTCTAATATATCTTACATCTCTTGTCATATTTTAAGTGCTGTTATATCATACCAACATCTGAAAATTTTTCTTATTTTTTAGGATTTTACATTCCTGACCTAGAACTAATGCTGCAGGAATGCTGAGTACATGGACATACTGTTTTCCTTATAAAAATTATTCGTTACTAATGTACAATTAAAAATCATTAGAATGTAAATGTTATTAAATTTGATTGCATTAAGGATTCAAATGTTTCTTTACTTTGTTGATTATATTAAAAGCATCCTAAAATTATTTGTTTCCTAGTGTTATGATGTTTACAACTGTGTGTAAAAAATGTCACAGTGTATGCATGCAACAGACATTGCCTCTAACAACATTGTTATGTACATTTATTTTACCTTATAAAGGCACTCAGTTGTTTTAATGAGAATGTTTGCAATGCTGGCTGTGCATTTTTTTCAGAATATACTGCATGTGATTTGTGCAGTCTTTAAAATCACAGCAGGGCAAACAAAAGATATGGTTTGCTTTCTAAGATGATGTTCTTTACTCCTGTATTTCCTTCACTGTTGTCTGTGGACTTCTGGCAATCTGCAGGATCAAGATAAGTGCTCTGCAGGTTGTCTGCAGAACTATATTGATGATACGGGAGTTGTTAGTTCTCAGTAAGTCTTAAGGTTAATAGTGTTTCATTGGCTGAAAAAATATGAGAATCTCTCTTCCCTTAACTAATGGAAATTGAGTAAGTTCCATGTTTTGAAAAGTATCTTAATTCATCAAAAATAAAACGATTTTTTAGCTATGAAGAACACAGATGCAGCATGGTTCTCATTCAGAAGATGAGTTAGCTGCATTGTTCACATACTTCCAGAATTAGAAACCATTTGAAAACTCAAGTGGTTTTGATGTAGAATTAAAGAAATTCCAGTCAAAAGAACAAGTTAGCCTCACAATCTTTCTAGCTTCTCTCTGAGTTTGTTTTCACAGAAGGGTTGTGTTAAAATATGATGTTAAGGTTGTACTCCTGTTGAAAGTAACTAATCGTTCAATGTAGCAGCAGATTATTGGGTTTAACATTGTATTGGCGGGTCACAGTTTGAATTGACCTTGGTATGACTACTCCTGCTTCTGCAAGCTTGGATGAGCAGCTAAATTTCAGAAGGTATCTGTGAAAACAGATGGCCTTGGAGGTGGAAACGGGCTTAAGACATCCTTGTCCTTTCTCCTCTTCTTACCCACCTGTTTCCACTCTGCGTTTCGCTGTGTGTCCAGTTGAACTGGTGCAATTATTTGTGAACTGAGGATCCGGTTTTATATGACCGCTGGTCAGGACCAACACGTGGCCTTCTGCCACAAATCACTTACTGCATCGTATGATATCAAGTCAGGGGGTTTAAGTTCTCTTCCCCCCACTGCCACTGCCTTGCCCCCACGGCCGGCCGCTGCCGCTCGAGAAGCTGTCTCTTATACACA